TTCCACACGGGAAAGCTGGACCATGGTAATTGCTGCCATCTTGTGGGAGAGTGAAAGAAATTCAAGGCACTGTTATCTCCCTAAACCCCTTAGCACCTTCTGATTAAGCACTGAAGCATTCATGCATCCTTTCATTCAACATTTACTCTGTGTCAGCCCTGGCTAGACTCTGGGCACACAAGATAAGTAAGACACAGCACGTGTCCTCAAAGTATGTAGAATACAGACACAGTGTGCTGTTAAATATTGTTACAAGTGACAGCACCCTTCTCAGGTGGGAGCAGTGAAGGAACCCAAAGACCTGCCCAAGGAGGACTAATCCAAAATTCATGGATAGCCAGGCTGATTCCATTCTACCTGACTTTCTGTTGTGAAAATAATTTCCTAAACAGTGTTTTTCTGCCCATTCTTGCCGGTTCTTTCTTAGGAAGTAGGAAAAGAGACGAGGAAAGATGCAAGGCGGACAAGCCCCAGAACCTCACAACATATGTGGAATATTTTGCATTTGACTCTCTAGATACATTCTTCACTTTTCATCTTGCTCTGTTCCCCAGAAGGCTGACTAGCGTGGACTGCCTCTAGCCCTCCCTTGCACCCTGACTTCCAGGACCATTCAGAAAATATTTGTGGTGAGGAGGTCCTGGCCGAGGATCTGCAAGACGGAGGAAAATCAGTACTTGTGACCAGATCACCACCCACCCCCATCCAGGGAGGGATCCCTCAGTGAAAGGTCTCAGTTTATGCCCTCCCATTGCCCTTCCAGACCCAGAGGTGGTAGCAGTGCCCGGAGGTTTGTAGCCCCAGCATGCCGCACTAATTCTTGTGGTTTCCCTACTCTGCCTACACCCCTGTAAATAACCTTGATTTGAATGTGCCGTTGGTTTCTTCTTCCCTGGCTTAGTAGAGATTACTAAATGTTATTGAATATCTTGTACAAATTCTACATAAATGACTGCTTGAAGTCAATAACTGAATGAATAAAGGCATGAATGAATGAGGGAAACTCAGGACCTCAGAAATGCCCCTGCCCTCACCAAATTCACAAGTTTGGTGCTAAAAGCTTGCTGGCACTGATGACAGATCCCAGACCCATACTCACACCACCCTGCACTCATCCCCCAACTCCCTCCTCAAATTGGTTCTCAGGCCCTTGCCCTCTACCTCTGGGGCTGCTCTTAGAAGTCTCCTGTGAGGAGGGCTGGGTGCTAGGGGCATGAGGAGGGCCAATAAAGAGTGCTGTGTTGCCTTCAAGGGCCATCACTAGGGTGCCTGCTCCAGTGTTTCTCAGTATTCAGAGAGAGCCACACGTCTGCCCTCCTAGATGCCCCTGTGGTTGTTCCTCTTCTTCCAGCTCCTCACTCCCACAGGATCCAGCCCAGAACCACCCAGATCCAAATCTCTGCTTCCCAGCTTCGCTCCTCTTGAAATATTTAACCCCTCACGTTACCTCTCTATACAGTCCCTACACATAGTGAAAGCATTGATTGGGTTCAGAACACACTACCCCAAAATACAGCACCTTGTCATATTAAATATCTTAAGCTAAAGGAATTTTATAAGATGGAGGAAGCAAGAAGGTCACTCTGACCTTCCCCCCTTTCCCATTGTTCTCTGGAACGGGTTCTAAAACTCCCATGTCAGTCCTCGATGGCCACCGTGAAGAAGGCATATGTCAATGTTACACTTGAAGGTCAACAAAAGATAAACAAATTGGCACAGAATACAAGTAGAATCACAGAGCTGAAGGAAAAAATAGTCATGAAAAAGAAACAACCGCAAAATTTAGAAGCTGCTTGCGAGGATATCACTCTTGCAGATGATGACTGCCTGATGACACCGTGTCATACTGGTGGTGTGTTTGTTAGCCATTCTCGAGAAACACAAGAAATGTTAGAAGAAGCAGAGAAAAATTTGCAGGAAGAAATTGATGCCTTAGAATCCCAGGTGGAATCCAGTCAGGGGGTGTTAGCAGGTGTGAAAGTTCAGTTATGTGCAACATAACCTTGGGAGCAACATAAACCTTGAAGCTGAAGAAAGCTAACTGTTTTATAATACTTTAAAATTTGTGTTTAATAAACTTCAATATTGTTTAAATGATAATTATACTTCTTCAAATGATAAGGAAAGCAAAATTTCTTTTTTTAATTTTTTTTCATTTCTTTACTAGAAACTTCCCATTTTCACATCTTGCTTATTTATTTTATATTTTTAAAATAAGATAGTATTCACCTATGTATTTTACATAACAATTATATCAGGTATAGGGATTATATGTCATGTTATTAATACCAGTTAAGCAATTAAAAAAAAATAAAACACTCATGTGAAAGGTACCCTCCTTGTACTGGGAGAAGGAAAGACATTCTCATTTCCAGAGATGGGGAATTTGAGCCAAGAAATCTGTGCAAATCTTGTTAAACTGTCCTTTATCTTCCTGGTTACTTCTTTAGCTTTTACTATCTCTAGCCTAAACCCATTTGTCCTGCCAGTTCTTCACAAATTTATTGTTCCTTTGTCTAAAAGGGTATAAAAGCTTTTTGTTCGGCTCACTTCTTCAGGTCTTCATTCTCTTGTGAAGGCTCCACCACGCACATATAAAAATTCAATAACATGTGTATGCTTTTCTCCTATTAATCTTTGTCAGTTTAAATCTCAGGCACAGCCAGAAGCCCTGAGAGAATCTGAGGAAAGCGTTTCCTCCCCTATCGCATCGAAGAGACAGAACTCAGGGGAAGGGAACGCTTTGCAAGGAAATGTCTGGAAGGGGTGAAACGACAGAAATGCTGTGCTGGCATCTAGGGGTGCTGCTGCAGGCTTTTCTTCCCCATCTTTCCTTCCTTCCTCCTCCTGCAGGGTTAGTTCTCATGCTGGGGAGGAATGGCTTAAGAGTAAAGCTGTCGCTCGGTCCATGGTGCTAGAGGCATTGTCCAACTCTCTCCAAGGATGTGGTTTAGGGTTATTTTTTATTTTACTAAAGAAAATAGTCATTATCATTCTCTTTCTCTTGCTCCTCTCTCCCTCTTCCTTCCAGCCACTTTCAGTTTCCCTGTGACAAACAATGCCCCAAATTCTATCTCGCTGGTCATTACAATTACTTCCCTTTAGCCAGAAATAGTACCAAAAATATGTGTAAAGAAATAAATTGCTTAAGAATTGCTTTCTTAAAAAGACTTCTGAGGTGCTTGAGAAAGTATTTTAACACCAACTGATCAAATATCAGTGATTGGATTTAGCTTTCAAATGGATTGCTAAAGGGTATATATTTTGTAAAGGTAAAAAAAATCGTGATTCTCATGCAAATATAAAATGAATATGTGTCAAAGCTTTTATTTGACTCATTAATGGAGGAAGGAATCAGTCAAATATTATCTTTGGTTCCAAGGAGAATTCAAAGTGATAGATAGATGGATAGATAGATAAGGAATGCTAAAGTGAGTTGACAAACAGATACAAAATTGCCTTTTTACACAGATTGGGAAGAGAAATCAACTGTCCCTCCACTGGACAAAAATCATTTTCACATTTATGGACAGAGGTCCTTTGTGTTGCTCTCATTTTTTTTTTACCATTTATGAGTTGTAAATAGCTCAAAGAAAATCAAAGGAGGTAATTCAGAAGGATGCAAAAAACAGAACACTCAGTAATCTTTTTTTTTTTTTTGCCATTTCAAAGGCTTGCACGAATTTTCCTGAATGTTGTCAGAATAGTTCAACCTTTTTCCACAGTACATAGTTTATGTTTGTTAGAAAATAACCTGACCATCACTAGGCGCCCTTGTGAGAGCAACAACGTCTTTAAACCCTGCATGGCAAACCCTGACACAGTGCTGTGAGGCCCAGGGATGACAGGGTGGCCTGGAAATCCGACTGCTTCCCGAAGATCATCCAATTTCTGGATGATTATCCAAAATATTCATTGCAGGAGCAGACAATGTGGACTCCAAGCAGATGCAGCAGGTCCCTCCGTGGGAAGGCTGTGGTGCTGATAGGCGAGAGCACCATGACATGCAAGAACATCCAAGGGCATCCAGAAAACAGCCCAGCTCTGGAAAACTGTTGCTTCATATCCGGGTGAATGTGGGCTTTGTGTTCACCAGGGAGGACCCCCTCTGAGATCAGCAACATGCTGCCGGCCAATAAGTGCCAGCTGCCGCATGTGCTGGTGCCATTGCCCCATGTGAAGTCACTGTGCCAGCTCAGAACACTGGTCTAGGGCCAGAGAGGACCTCCTTCTTCCAGGCTTTAGGCATCACCACTAAAACCTCCAGGGGCACCATTGAAATCCTGGGTGATGTGCAGCTGATTAAAACTGGAGACACAGTGGGAGCCAGCAAGGCCACACTGCTGATACGCTGAACATCTCCCCTTTCTCTTTGGGGCTGACCATCCAGCAGGCATTTGACAATGGCAGCATCTGCCACCCAGAAGTGCTTGGCATCACAGAGGAAACTCTGCATTCCGCTTCCTGGAGGGTGTCCACAATGTTGCCGGTGTATGTCTGCAGATTGGTTGCCCAACTGTTGTTACATCAGTACCCCATTCTATCATCAATGGGTACAAGCGGGTTCTGGCGTTGTCTGTGGAGACTGATTATGCCTTCCCACTTGCTGAGAAGGTCAAGGCCTCCTTGGCTGATCCATCTGCTTTTGTGGCTGCAGCCCCTGTGGCCACTGCCACCACTGCTGCTCCTGCTGCTGCTGCCAAGGTTGAAGCAAAGGAAGAGTCGGAGGAGTCAGATGACAATATGGGATTTGGTTTCTTTGACTCAGCACTAAAAAGCAATCAGCTCAGACAGTTTTTATTGGTGAAACAAGAAAATAAAGGCTTACTTCTCTTAAAAAATAATAATAACCTGATACTTCTGGTATGGCTTGTTATTGTGAATTATTCAAAATGATGAGGAGTTTTATATTGATGGGTGCAATTAAAACTCATACCTGACAGAGAAAATAATATCAGCATAAAAATGATTTTTTTTGCTCTTGCATCTAAGCCACCAACATGCCATCCAGACTGAGGAAGACCCAGAAACTTCAGGGCCACACGAGCCAAGGCCACGGCTGCATGGGCAAGCACAGGAAGTGTCTGGGAGGCCAAGGTAACGCTGGTAGCTTGCATCATCACAGGATCGACTTTGACAAATATCGCCCAGGTCACTTTGGGAAAGTTGGTAGGAGGCATGACCACTTAGAGAGGAGCCAGAGTTTCTGCCCCACTGTCAACCTGGATGAACTGTGGACCTCAGTCCCTGAGCAGACACGGGTAAATGCTGCCAAAAACAAGACCGGAGCCGCTCCCATCATTGATGCGGTGCAATCGGGCTACTACAAAGTTCTGGGGAAGGGAAAGCTCCCAAAGCAGCCTGTCGTTGTGAAGGCCACGTTCTTCAGCAGAAGAGCTGAGAAGATCAAGAGTGTTGGAGGTGGACCTGGGCTCTGGGAGCTTGAAGCCACACGGAGGGAAGTTCATTTAATGCTCACAAGTGCTTTACCAAAAAAATAATTTTTTACTAACATACGTTTACATAAGGATGTTACTGAAAAATATGACTGTTGAATATATTGTTAGGATTGCCAAATAAAATACAGGATCCCAGTTAAATTTGAGTTTCAGATCAATAATTTTTCTTTACTATGTGTCAAATATTAAAACAAAAGAAAAAATGGCTGTGGGGTAATAGACTACAACTTCTATCTCCCTAGGCTTGGTTTTAATTTGAATTTTCTACTTGCAAATATTAGTTTCAGGACATAGAATAAGCTGAAAGGTTTAAGGAAAAACAAGTCTTTCCTTCTATTACCTACTGTAGGGGAGGAAAAAGGTGTCCTGGATCCTCCTATGATCCCTGCGAGACAGGCCAGTAACACAGGATGAATGGCATGGAGAAACTGAGACAGACAGCTGAACAAACTGACCCAGTGATTTACAACCAGATACAGAAGATGCCTTCCCTAGAGATAATCTCAGTTGTATTTCAGCTCCAAGCCCAGAAAAGCAGCAAAACCAGGTGGGTCATTCCAGGACCAGCTGCCGTGACTAATGAGCCCCTGCCCTGGTTCTGACCAATCAGTGCAGTTCATGCCCCAGAAAGAATGCCCCTGAGAAACTGATAAACATTCTGCTGCAACCCTCCCCTAAGATCCTGGCCTGCAAGAGAGAGATAAAACCCTCAAGACAAGAACCCAACACACGCTCTTCCTCTGGGGAGCATGCCTGCACCATTCCTTTCCCCTTCTTCTTGCCCCACAAGTGTGTCACCTAAACCCTAAGGGACCCCACAAGACTTGCAACCAGTGAGCAAAGGGCAGCAGCAGCTCATCCCACCCTAAGCCCCACCCCCTGAATCTGTCTCTAAGGCACCCTTTTCTCTGACTTGCCAGTGAGCTAAAGTAGCCCAGCCTCGACTCTCCTGTTGCTTCTTCTATGTTAAACTCTTCCTTGTTTCACTGTCCCTGACTTTAATAAATGTACCCTCATAGTCACCTGGACTTGTGTTGAGAAGTCCTTCTTGCACAAAGTCAAGAAACCACACACTCCTGGCTAGCCCTAGGGAGACCCGATCAGGGCCAGGTCCCCTGGTCATGTAACACCTGGATGGGTCTGAAAATTAAACTGACCAAGACAGGTTAACAAGAGAAAAGCATACAAATTTCATTTAATGTAAATTTTATGTGACACAGAAGCCTTCTAGGAAATGAAGACCTAAAGAAAGGGTCAATCCAGAGTAGTTTTTATGCCAGGTCAATGAAGAGTGGACGGTTGCGGAGAAATATGACAGGCCAGAAAGTACAGAGTAAGTGGAGTAACCTGGGAGAAAATTAGCAAAATCTGTGTATTTGGATTCTTCTCCTTGTCCCGTTGTCTTTAGAAATAAGGATGCTCCTTTCCAGGTCATAACCTGAGGGTTTCATGACCTGCTTCAGGGAAGAAGTTCAGGAGGACATCAAAGTGATCTTCCTGTGTCTGCTATTTTCTCAGACTCCTTCAGCTTAAAATATGCAATAAATATGCTAAGGTGCCATATTTGGGGTAGCATGTCCTGAACCCCATGACTATCCAAGACAGTGCTAAGCTTGGGTTATTACATGCATTTCTGCATGAATACCACCAGGCGCAACTGCCCAGAAGGGGAGTGATCTGACCACATTAACTTCTGGGACAGAAGGGGCAGCCTGTGGTGACATCCCAACACACTCACTCCCATTGCTTGACAGATAGGCTCAATTATGATAGCCAGTCACAACTTTCTGGCTCATTCAGGACACTGAAGAACACAGTCCTTCCTCTTTTCTAACAGAAACTAAATACCTAAGTAATCATAACTCCTAGATCTGGGACACCTCACAGGAATTTGACAAATAGGACATATTTTTTCCTTATTACATTATACATAATTTATCTTTTTGGGCAGGGTCACACAGACCTCAGTTTGCTCAACAGTCAGTTTGTTAACTGTACCTACTCTGCAAAGCAAAGGAAGAAGTTATGATGTAGTGAAGGAACAGCGTTTCCCATAACATCAAGTAAAGCCACAACAGTATGAATAACGAAAAGGGTAAAATTCTGGAAAAGTTTCAGAAGTAGGGTCAATAGTTTGATGTGTAGTTAAATAGGAGAAATAAAATAGAGCAGGAACTGAAAATGATGCCCTGGCTTCTGGGTTTTGTAGCCGAATAAAAGGTGGCAGGGCTATCAGTCACTGAGCTGGAAAGTAGGGGAGGAGAAGCAGATTTGGCTTCTCTATATAAAAGAGACTGTGTAAAGGTGGGATCTGAATTGCATTGCTTTTCTCTCGTGAATATTCCCCATGCCTTTGTAGGCTTTTCCACATTCTGTTTTTACCTAGCAAACTACATTAAATTTCAGTTCATTTTCTCTTTTAGAAAAGCAGGTACCTATACCATCCCATCAGAGTTTCTGATCAGCCTGAGATTATCAGCGTTCCCATAATGAATTCCTATAAAGTCCAACCCAAAAGACAGAAATATGAAATTTTAATCACCCTGTTAGGTCTTTTGACATACTAAAAGTAGCTTGAAGATCCCCCTGCCCCATGCACCTGGCTCACAATTGGTGCCTTATAAAATAATTGCTGAGAAATAAATTTTTTTAATATCTCATTTAGCTCTAGTGTATAATTCTAAGATCTACTAGAAACTCTTTTTCTTTGGCGTGGATCCCAGCTCCTGGGGTCCACAGTGTCACAGATGAGACGAGACAAATTCACACAGACTACCGAGTCCTGTGGAGGAAAAGGGTTGGTGCGGCTTCTCTCTCAAGAGGAGAAAAACCTCGGAGCACCTCGGCCACCCTCTCAAAAGGAGAGCACCTCAATCCTTGCCCTGACAAGCTTTTATTGGGTTCAATTTGCACAGGAATACAGGGTGTATACGTAAAGCTCATCAATCACTGTCAGACAGAAATAATTTAAAAATAGATAACATTCAAAGAACTCTGAGGGCTTATTCTAAGTCAGGGTCAGATAGTTAAAGGGCCATAACACTTTGGGGAACAAACTCACTTCCTGCTGGGACCCTTAGCTTTTAAATTGAGGGTTTTAGCAAAGTAGGTTTCATGGGATTTTATGCATTTTTTCTTAGGCCTGATCGCCCTAGGAAACCCGCCCTTTCCAGCACAGGGCTGCACCCACCTGCAGAATCATTTCAGGCTTAAGGCATTGTTTCAGGCTTAAGTCTGGCAGGGGGAGTAAGGCAGCCAAGAGATTAGCAGACTTCTTGCAGACAAAATGAGGACTCAGGCTATGTCAAAGCTGAGGGGCAATAGTCCATCACCCTCTTTTTCTATAGCCCCCCAAGTCTTTCCCTAAGGGCCTCTTGGCAACTGTGCCTGTTTTAGGTCGTCCCTCTTTTGAGGAATCTAACCGGTCATTGGCTAACCAGTCATCTGCCTGGGGCCAAGCAGGGTGAAGAGAAAGGGGGCAGAGGTGGTGTCCCAACAAGAAAGATTAGCTTTGTCTCCTAAATAGCTTATGGGCCCAAGGTCCTTTGCTGAGTCTTAGTTACGGGGGACTACAACTTCTGAAACCAGTCAGGGCAGTTCCCAACAGTTCATAATCACCTACTAGTACCTGGAACCTATCTGATTTTTCTTAAGTATGTAAGGTTTATTTTGGTCTACTTACATAGCTAATGTTGCCGATTAGTCACGATCTCACCTATTACAACAGCGCTAACAATTGAGAATGTCACAACTCAGTTTAAAACTCTATGCCGGCTTCCCATGTGAAATAAGATTCAAGCTTTCCAACTTTATGGCCTTTGATAATGTGGCTCCTGCCTACACTTCCTGGTATATTCTTTCTCCAAAACATGACCTAAATTTACACCTGCGCCAGCTTCTCTTCCTTTCGCCTACTCATAGTCTCACTCTACTCATAGTGAAAAGACTAAACTCAAATGTCACCACCACCAGATTTTATTTGGCATCCTCCTGCATCATAGAGCTTGCCCAATGTCACAAGCAAAAATTGTCTGCTAAGTAAGTTTTTAAAAGTTTTATTCCAAGGATTCTAGATTGGAATATCAAATCAAAGTTATTTTATAGATTACAATTGATCTACACAATTAAAAAAAAGACTGCTAGCATGCTCGAAAAGAAAAACTTTTAATAATATGTTTAAATATCAAGCAGAGGGAACATTTTTTCACGCCATGTTTTTAATCCAAAGCATTTTTCAAATAAAATAACCAGATATATTTTGTAAACACATCTTGTGAAGCACTTGTTTGAAATAATTAGACCTTCTGTTATGACAATTACCCACTTAATTTAAACTAGGGAATGAAAGGCAATGAACTTGTTAAGTGCCCCACCAGCTGAAAATACAGCGGTAAATGTGGCAGATACTGGCCAGCAGTATCCATCTCTGCTGCGGATGCTTGTCAAAACATGAGAAAAACATACACAGAGACAACCAGGTCCTGTGGGGAAATAGGGACAGAACAGCCACTCTCTCTAGTGGAGAGCGTCCCATATCCATTCCCAAGCAGATTTTTATTGAGAATACAGACTTAATTTGTGGATTCACAGTCTGGCAGAAAAGATCAAAAGAAGTAGGTGACTTACAAAGGTGCAGACAGAACCCCTGCTGTGATTCTGGGCAGAGTTTGGGATTTTATCACTACAGTACCTAAAAGGCTAGTCTCATTTCCTGCTTGTGCCTTCATATTCTAATTTAATAACATCCTCCAGCAAACAGATGTCACAGGATCTTGCATATTCTATGTCCCAGGCCTGATTACCCTGGGGGTCTGCCATCTCTGGTCTGGGTTGTACTGCCCCTGTTATTTCTGCAGGCCTGAGTCAACAGAGGAGACAGAGGCAGCCAGGAGACCTGGATTTCTCACTTCTAAGAACAAGGACTCAGGCTTTGACAAAGCCGAGAGGGCAGGGGTTGATGTCCATCACCCTTTCATTTCCACAGCCTGAGTCTCTTCCCAGAGGCCTCCTCGTGATCATGCCTGTCTTAGGCGATTCCCTCTGTGGGAAATCTTACCTGTCATTGACCAACTGATCAAGCATAGGAGGTTAGGCATAGAACAGGCAGCATTCATGCCAGGGAAATAAGTTTTGTCTCCTTAGTGGCTCCTGGTCCAGAGTTCTCTCACTCAGCCTAAGTCACGGAGGGTTACAGCTTCCTGAGACCAGGCAGGGTGGTCCCCAACAGATAAACAGTATAGAACCAAACTAAAATTGAGTCACTTGTGTCAATAAAAAAGTGGAGATGGGAGAAGAAACAGAACTTAACCTGACCTTCTTGGAATGTACAGCTCTTCTCAGAAGTGGGCAGAGGACATCAGCCACACCAACCAGACACAGACATACACATCATCTTTGCATGTCTGCCTTACAGGTTCCTCATTAACTAATGAATTGAACCCTGACACCTGTTCATATTTTATTTGTATTTTTGCATACAAAAATATTTGTGACTTGACTTTTTACAAATAACTAACCTTTAATGAATGGAATGGGTTGAAGAGTGACTGGAAAATGAGTAGAGGCAACACATGTATACAACTCTTTAGAGAACTTTGGTAAAGGAGGAATAAATGGTGATGAAAGGAGACTTGACTTGGGGCGGTGAGCACACAGTATAGTGTGCAGATGACCCCCCCCCCACTGTGTAGTAGAATTGTGTGCCTAAATCTGATTACCGCTAATTTTGTTAACCAGTGTCACCCCCAGTAAATTCAGTTTAAAATATAAATAAAGCAGTTTGAATTAGAGGTCATGTTCCTCCATTATCCCTTTAGAGAGGAAGCACTTACATTGCTCTGGGGACCTACCCAATCCCAACCGCATGTGGTCTCGGTGCAACCGCCAGATGAGGTGGCCCCTTGCTCCAGATAAACCCCCGTAAGGAGGCCAAAGCCATGGGTCACTATTAGCTGATGTCACACAACTCCACGCAAGCCCCACCACTCCGGATATCTGGTTGTCCCCTTCTCAAACTAGCTTCCGAATCCGGGTAGGGTGACATCAACGCCATTGGAGGGCATACATGGTGTGACGTCAGTGCTACACGTCAGCCAGCAATGGGGTCTAGTGTTTAGTCGGCTCCCGGCAGGCTCCAGGTGTTGGAAGAGGGGTGAGTGTGACGTCATCTTCTGCATAGACAGGGATGGAGCTAAATCGCCCTACCCCCAACCCCTTCTTCTGTTCTCGGCCCCAGCAGGGGGCGGTGAGGGGGGGCAGCGGGGAGGTCTGGGTGGTATGTTCGTTGTTCGCGTGCTATTTGTAGGTCTTCTTCGGACCTCTGGCACTTCTGCCCTGAATCCTTACAAAACTCAGTTGTAGGTGGTATTCAGCTTTTAAAAGGAAAGACCAAAGGTTCAGATCAGTGCAATTTGCACAAGATTACACAGCAGAGCTGCACTCCTGATAGCCTAGTGATTCTCTTCACCATAAAAGGAACATTAAACATATCTTACGGAATGGTGTGGAGTGATTCGTGTGAAGCACCTTACATCCTACTTATCTGTGGCAAGTCTGTCCATGCACCCAGAACCGGGAACAATTCTGATTTCTAGCTGGACCCCAGCGCCTCGGCACAAAAGAGAAAGTTTGCACACTGAGCAAAAGGCCTGCGGTCCAGGCAGCAGAGTTTATCCAGCAAAAAGTGAGAAAATGTAGGTGTCTCGTCTCAGCTGCATTCTACTAATCACACACGCAGGCACACATCCAAACGTGCACCTTACCTTGTTGTTTGTTGTTGTTGTTGTTGTTGTTGTTAATGATGATGTTGTTTTCAGCGGCAGAGTACAGGAGGAATAAACGTAGTGCACTCACTTCCTACACTCATCCGTACTGAAAACCGAGTAGTCACACTGCTCTTCCACGCTCTGCACATCTGATCAGTCACTGACTCCCGTCTCCCTTTATCTCCTCTTCTCTAATTCCACTAGATAAGATTTCATCAAGTGACCTCTAACTTACTCCGTCGAGTTGATTCTTTTGTCCAATTAATATTTATTGATGTTTAATCATTAAACATCACCAAACGTTGCCGGTTTTACCCCTTCTTGGCACCTCGTGGGATTATACTTCTTCCTGGCCTGGATCGGTGAGATAGGAGTGAACGTGATTGATGGGTTACCGTCAGACACAGCAAGTAATTGCCACTTTGCGGCGCTCCAGAGCTCCTTTCCAGCGACAGGAAACTTTCCAATGCCAAAGGTTCAGAAACAGCCAAGTAAAACGAAAGAATTCCTAGTTAAAAAAAAAAATGTGAACATACTAAAAAAACAGTTTGCAAACCCGGAGCACTCAAACCAGAACATGGAATGAGGCTCAGGGGTAAGAAGTTTGCGTAGTGAAAAGGAGTGTCTTCGCAGTGACTGGTAATTAAGCGAAATTAATGACTGAACTGGTTTTATCTGCTCAGGAGCTGGTTTTGGTTTGCGTTTGATTTTAACACAACATGGTGGTAGCTTCCTCAGCAGGCACCCCTGGTTACTGTGAGCAGAGCGCCCTTCCCCAACCAGGCAGGGCATCCAATTTCTAACACTGACCCTCAGTGGTGAGTGAAGTACCCACTGGATTACCCTGATTTCCTTTCTTTTACATTTTCTTCCTTTCCCCTAAACTCCTTAACTTCCAATATAATTTGCCATTTACCTCCTTCGCTGGGAGCTGTTCTAGATTATAGCTCAGCTAAACTGTTAAATATTTTTAAATAATATATTCATGGCTAATGTTGACATGTCAATTTTTAAAATAAACTATTTAATTTAACTCTGCACCTAACCCCCCTGACATGACATTCACATTTAAAAGAAACCTCCTAGGTATTTGCCCAAATGAACAAGAAAATGGGAATCCTATCTTCATCCATGTAGAAAACATAGTCCCATTCATATTAATGTCTATGTTACATCCCCTACCAGCAGGCTCCCAGCTGTCCTCCCTGGACTTCCTGAGCATGCCCAGGTTTGTGTGTCATGTGTCCTCAGCAGAAGTCCCTTATGTCACTCTCTTGCTCTGGCTTTCTCTTTTTGCTGTCCACTTCTCATGAAGGTGTTCAACAGACACCTGCAGGCAGTGGCCCTTGTGAAAACACCATTGTGGATGCTGAGGGGACTAGCGCCCGGGGCCATGACACTGACCTTCACCCCCAGGGCCTGACCCAGCAGCATGTAGAACAATCTCATAGTTGCTCATGAAAAGAGAGCCTTCTTCTTTAGGCTCTCAGCTTCCAGTTGCTTAAAAGTAATGGAAAAAGGTGGGGGGTGGTGGCATGGTGGAGCACATCTCAAAAATAAGCAGTAGTTTTTAGACAAAGAACAATCCCAATCCTTACGAGAATAACTCTCTGACCAGTTTGCTGATGAGTGTTGAGTACAAAGTCACCTTTGCCAAGATGAAAACTGAGGTCATTTGGAGAATGCGCAATCCTTTGCCCTCTACACATCCAAGGACAACCTTAGCACCCCTCTCTTCTACCAGCTTCTCTCCAGCTGTTGCAGGGGCTTTGGCAGTTATAATGCTTTCTTACTACTCTTTGGAGCCAAGAAAGCGAGCAGGGGAATTGGTTCTTGATAGCTGGCACTGGTCACTAGTCTCTGGTCTAAGCTCTCCCATTCCCATGGTGCTTGGTTCTCTTAATGAACCCAACTCCACATTCTGGCTTAAGGGGAAATTGCTTATGTTTTGTTCAAACACAGGTATATGTACAGTATGGACTTCTGTGCGTTCACATGAAAACTCTCAAAGATTTAACTAAGGTATTTTGCTAAATTGTCACAAAGATAATTTACATAGCTTTTCTCTTTGGCAGTAAAATAATTATGCTGATGAGCACTTTCAAATTAATACATTAAAGTACTATGTTCAGAGAGGGAAAAAGAGGATGAGCAGGTCCCCCATGTTGACCCATGATGAACATGCACCATGGGAAAGAGAAACTTCTTTTGTCTTGAGGCACAGACTCTGGGGGTTGTTGGTTACCACAGCATAAATTAGCCTCTTCTGATTGATAAGCACCGACAGTAAGTCAGCAAAAACAAATTTGGTTTCTGTCCTGGTGGAGCTTATAGCAGAGGTATCTCTGTAAAATACAGATGTGATTATGTTCCCGTCTCTGCTTTGAAACTTTCAATACCTTCCCATTGCTTGAAGGATAAAGTCCACACTCTCAGTTTGGCATTCTAGGCCCTTTGCCACTTGCTTCCAAACGGCAATTCTATTTCCCTTCTCCCATCTATTTTGTGGTCCAGCCAAGCTGGACTTCTGGCTATTTACAGGCTTAATCCATACGCTTTCAAACCCCTGCCTGAACCTTCACCCGTGCCATACCTTCAACATGGGACACCCTTCATCCGCGTTTACATGTCATGGTTTACTGCCCTGGGCTTGTCAAATACTCCATGCCACCCCCTACTAACCCTTTGAGAACACTCGTAACAATCTTAGTTACATGTTCCAGTCATTGTCTTCCTCCAGGGCTGTAAACTCCTTGAGAAGCCCATATTATTCACCGCAGGGTCATGGATATATAAGCACTTGCATTTTGTTAAATGAATGGATGCCTTACTGAATCCTTCAAGGATCATTAGACATGCTGTCAATTCCATGTGCTAATTTGCTATTACTGCTGTTAACAAATTGCCACACAATGCATGGCTTAAAATAATACAAATCTACAGTTCTGTAGAAGTTGGCAGGGCTGTATTCCTTTCTGGAGGCTCTAGGGGAGAATCTGTTTCCTTGCTTTTTGGAGCCACTAGAGGCTGCCCACATTCCTTGGCTTATGATCCTTTTATTCCAGCTTCAAAGCCAGGGGTGTGGCACCTCTCTGAGAATTCTTTCAGAGTCACTTCTCCCTCTCCCTAATAACTCAGCCAGGAAAGTTTCTCCAATTTTAAAGATTCATGTAATTAGATTGGGCTCCCCTGGATAATCCAGGCTAATCTTCCCATCTCAACACACTTAATCACTTTCCCTTTGCCACGTGAGGTAACATCCAGATATTAAAACAAGGACATCTTAGAGGGATCATCCTTCTGCCTACCACATTCTAGTCTTTTCTTTTTCTTCTCTTCGGCTTGGTGTTTACTGTTCAACATCTGCCAAATGAAGTCTGCCTTAAAAAGCATCAGGGGTGTCCTAGAAATAGGAAGACCATATATGGTCCAATCTTAGACACTTTGGAGAGTGAAATGAGTACTCTTAACATCTATACCGGAGCAACAGGTATACACTGCACCAACCAGACCTCATAGGATGAAACTGTAATGGAGCCCAGGTCCAGCTTTCTGCTGTAATGAAAGCCAAACTCAAGAGACAGGTGTGGGTGAAAAAGAAAGTAGTTTATTCAGATGCCAAAAACCTAGAAGACAGGGGACTCTCGTCACAAAGCATATCTTAACATCTCAGTGCAGGCAGAGGTTTTGATAAGGAGGGAGAGGGAAAGCAGAACAAAGATCGAGGGCAGGGGTTGCAGAGTTCTGTACATGCAGATGAGCACAGTCCCTTCTGATGAGGCAAGTGGCAGTTCAGTGTGAGTCATCATGGTTTAGTCATCCTGGCTTTATGTCATCCTGGCTTTCTGTCATTCTGGCTCCATGTCTGCAGGTCAGCAAATCTCCCGGAGCTGAGATGACTGAAGGTCAGTCTATACCTTTAGAAGTTAGTTCCTAGGATTCTTACACAAACATGCTGTGTATTTACAAGCTACATATTCGAGTCACCGTTTACAGAAACAATGTCAAAAGAATGGTGGGGTGGGTTACAATTCCCCCGTGTTACAAAATGGGTGTATGGCTTGTGTCAGCCTGAGTGGGAGCAACATTATTATGGACTTCTACACTCTATCTAGCCTGGTCTCTTAGAAATCAAGGAGACACTGGGAGGCTTTACTTTCCTCAGAAAATATGTGCTTTAGGCTGGAGATGGGACACTTACCTGGCTCAACAGGCAAAACAGGGCCTTTTTCTCCACTGCTTCAACAATATAAAAATAACAATATAAAGCAATGTAATGTGTATATTATATTATGTTTGGGGACCTTAGATTTTACCTATGATATATATTATAAATACTAACTCACAATTTGACACTTGTCTTCAATTTTTTTTTTTTTATGATGAAGCCTCCTTTAGCAGGTAGTTCCTACATACCTTGTAGCTGCATGATAATCGCTAAAAGGAATTCCAGGTCAGAAAACTGGGAATCTGCTCATCTTGTTCTTGTAAAGGGTGAATGAATTTTCAGCTTTGGAGAGAAAGGAAAAAATGCACAAAAGGAAGGATCCCCTAGCTTTTCCTTTATCTGATTAAGGCTTTTCATTTCTAAGTTTGTTAATCCTTGACCATACAAGAGCCAAAAGATATTTCAGAAAATCATTTTGTGATCTTATTATGCAAATAAGATGTGTTTACCCAAGGTTAGTGATTGCTTTGCAGCTGTAAAACAGTGACTTTCCAATTCTATCATTCCCTCTGCATTTTTCTGTATGAAAGAAATTTCCTTTCCCCAACTTTCACCTTTTCTTTCCACTTTGTACTCTTACATTTTTAATGATATTCATGATATGGACTTACATTTTTTTGTTTTTATTAATTCAATGTGTTATAATTCTTGGCCTTGTTTTTTTCTTTTTGCTTTTTGGGGTTTTTTTTTGGACTGAGCTCAGCAATGGTTTTGACCGGGTTTAACAGTGGCAATGCATCAGCCACAGCGTAACTTTTCCCACGTATTTTCCATCAGTTGGCTCAGTTGGCTGTGTCCACCTAGTGGGATCTGTGATACAGAAGGTGGACTGCATATTGCAGATATTAACTGCTGGTTTCATAGTTGTCCTTTAACTTCATTTCTAATGTTTGCTACAATTTTCTACAGTCAAATTTATCACTATTTTCTTCTATTATGTTTGGATTTTGAGTCATAATTAAGCAAAAACTACTACAAATTCCGACATTAAGCTTTTCCTGTCATAAGTGATTTGAAATCTACAAATATCTACTTATTTTGAGGTCTTCACCACACAGAGGTACAGTCATCAGTCATCTAATAACTAAAAGTTTTTACATCTCTTTTTTCTTTTTTAATTGTTTTTCTTTCTTTTTAAAGAATGTATTTACAATAACCTGATGTTGACCCTTTCGAAAGCAGTTTACTATCCTATGCAGGAAAAATCCTAAACCCAACACCTAATACAGTGCCTGGTATTTACTAGATTTTCTGTCAATATTCACTAAATGAAGGGGTAAACATGGGGAAAGAGAAATACAGGCATGAAGATGTTTGTTGCTGAACTAGCACATGAAGAATTGGCTGCAATCTAAAAAACCAATAGTAGAGAAATGATTAAATAAGCTATGATATATCTGCTTCATTAAAATATTGTAGTGCTGAAAAAATGATGAATCTGAAAGATACATAATAATATGGTAAAGATATGTATGTTAACTGTGTTGTGTTTTTTGTGCATTTGTGATGTAGATTTAAAAAGCAAATTACTAAATTATCAGGAAAAATATCTGTTGAATACATACACACATCAATGAAAAATTGACTGGAAGAAAATGTAGTAAGATGCTAACAGGGAGTTGTATATCCCTATTTTTCAAACTTTCTGTTTCTGATGAAAAACTAAATTTTGTTAAATTTTTATTCTCGGACTCCCAGCTGTTCTTAGACTCTGAATGCAGCAAAGGGAAATCATTTAAAAATTAAGAGAATTCAACATTTACACAGAAGTACAGTATAGAAAGCTCACCAAACAATTGACTGTAGGAGCCCAATTATATACAAAGACCACAGTAAATGCTTTTCCCAATTTTAGGTGGCTGTGTGGCTTGGAGTCTCATCTCTCTTCTCACTAGGTGAGAATATTTTGAGTATGGCAGCTATCTTGCATGTGGTATAGCATTGATTGTTTTCAATTAATGTCTCAACTTGATCGCTATCAACTTGATTGCTCCATGGTTTACCTGACCATGGAGCACCATCCAGCAAGAAATCTCTAGCACAAAATTTTGCAAACCACTTTGACATGTTTGATCAGTCGCAGCACCTTCTCCATACACTGCACACCTGTTTTTGCATTTCAGTTGTGTGTTTACCTTTCTTGAAATAATGATGCATAATATGCCAAAAATGTTGCATATTGTCTTTCATCTTCAATATTAAAATGGCTACACAAAAAATTCATTAATTTTGGTAAGCTGTTTTAAATACATGCTGACATGGCAGCTATCACAATACAATCTAACAAAATTATTTCAAATAAAGTTAAAGACAACTAAACACTACTAGAGCCATCTATAGAAAAACTGAAGTTTTTGGCCAACCCAATACTACCCCATAGAGTTAATGTGAGTGTTAAATGAGATAATACATATAAATTCTTAGAACAGAACCAGCCTCTAAAGAGTGCTCGATACGTATAAGCTGGGTTTTTTGTTTTTTTTTTTTTGGTTTCTGAGTTACTTTTCTTAAATTATAAAAACTTGGTTACAATGCCCCCGTGTCTGCACTTCGCAATATTTCTGATTTGTGAAAGTATGTATTACTTTAGATCAATGCTAAGAGTATGCATTGTCCACTCATGTTCTATGTAGGCTATGAAGATTAAAAAGCTCTTTTGAAAATAATGTTTTTACCTGACTTTAAAAATAACATACACTCACTACATAAAATTGGGGAAGTACTAAGAGCGATAAGGAATTTTAATCATCTACAGTACAACCACCCACACATTTTGGTGTGTTTTACTTTTTCTGTGTAAGTTCATATATGTGTATATTAGGTATGTGGGGTTTATTTTTGCAAATTAAGATCGTTATATTCTTTTACAGAAGATTATGTTATAGAATAAATGTATCGTTTGCTTTAAAACAAGAGCAAAAAGATAACTATGTAGAGAATGGGAGTGATCCTTTGGTAAACAGGATTCTTGTCACCACAATCTCTCATGTTTGCCATTACCTGGCAACTACAGTAGGTACATGGAACTCGAATGGAAAACTTATTTACAGTGAAAATCCAACCTAATTTAGAAACACAATGCCACCTTACATACAACTTGAGCAGAGATGTGTGAAAATCAGTTTGTTGTACAAAGAAGGGTTTCTTCTTTAATATAATTATAAGAATTGTTGAGTCAGGACACATCCAAACCTGCAGGGAATTTTTATAAGATTTTATTTGAGCCAAACTGACGACAGTATCAGGAAGCAAGACCTCAAATGCTCCAGAGATTGAGTTTTGCAGCTTCTTTTGTGCATTTGGAATTGACAAGGAAAGGTAAGGAAGATGACATGAAGGTGGGAGAAAGCAAGGCGAGGCCTGGGTGATAGGGTAATTAACAGGAGTACGTGCTTTCTTCAGGGTGAGTACCCTTAATTCAGTAGTGTGTTAAGCTAGATGCACAAAAATAATTGACAGGGCTTGCTTCAGGCAAATATAAACCTTTTACAAAAAAAAATCATATGACTGGGGCATGATTACCCAACCTCAACCTGCCCATTTAGGAATTTATGATCAGAACGCCCTGTGAAGTTACTTTCCGTAGAACTCCTTTTTCATCCATAATATACTGGTGCTCTTTGAAACCATAGTTCTTTGCAGAAGAAGAGGGACACAAATCTGGTGGGGAAGATCAGGAAAACTCCTATGGTGTGGATTCAGTTTGGAGGTATCGGTATTTTTGAAAATATATATTCCTTTGCTTTTACTCCTGAATGGGCCCATAAGCAGGGACATCTCAGCAATAAAGAGCACAGCTAGTATCATTATTTGATTTCTAAATACCATGCCACAAAGAAAGAACTGGGGTCTCTTGGAGAAGTGGTTTATTTCAGGCCTGAGGCCACCCAGTAGGGAAAGCACAGGGTGACTCAGTCTTCTCTCAAACAAGGAGCCACTCGAAGACTAACGGGGTATATATATATCAACTGAACACAGAGCTGGTCTGAAGGGGCTTCCCCTGGGAAAATTTGGGACAGCTTGAGCATCAAAAAAGAAAAAGAAATAATAATGACAGAAATGGATCACAATAGTGTCAGTAACGATGTGGATTCCAGGAATTTCCCCCACCCGCAAATACAGTATTCTGACTAATAGGTGGGACAGCATTTGAGGATTTACATTTTCAAGCAGCTTGCAGGTCATGCTGACACCATGGATCCAAGAATCTCAGTTTGAGTAATAATGGATTATACAACTTGGAGTTTAAAAAATATCTGAGGAGAGAGAAAGAGAGAGAAAATAAAGAGAGATAAAGAGAAAGCTCTTCTTTACAGAGGAATGCCAGCTGATAAATGTATAAGGAAAGACAGGCTTAGAAAAATCACCATTTTGCAGTTCCCAGTATAATGACTGAAGGATCATCAGAGAATGCTGAACGCATTAAGAGAAAGGCTTTTGGGGAACAGGATTCACACAGTTTCAAAATATCCTACTTATCATATGATCCTACTGATCATATCAAATTATTTATTGAGAACAGAGGGGAAAGTTATATTTTTACCTGGGGGCAATGTAGTTGACCCTTTCATAAAGGAAGTGATCAAATTTCACACCATCAAGTACAGGCAAAGGGCCTGTACACACTAAGTGCCTTCTAATGGATGCAGTGGGAAGTACGCCATCACCTGTGGAATATTCTGGCCAAAAATGTTTAACCTGAATTTAACCATGAAGAAACAATCAGACAAATCTAGACTGTGGGACATTCTTTAAATTATCTGGCCTGGACTCTTCAAAATTTCTAGGTCATGAAAAAGCAGAAAAAGGCAGGGAAAATATTCTAAATTAAAAGTGGCATAAAATCCTGGCTGGTGTGGCTCAGTGGATTGAGTGCTGGCCTGCGAAGCAAAGGGTCGTCAGTTCAGTTCCCAGTCAGGACACATGCCTGGGTTGCCGGCCAGGTCCCCAGTAGGGGGCCCATGAGAGGCAACCACACATTGACATTTCCCTCTCTTTCTCCTTCCCTTCCCCTCTCTAAAAATAAATAAATCTTTTTTAAAAAGTGACATAAACAAATGAAGTAGACCAAATAAATTCTATAAATAAGTCATATTTGGGGAGATTTGATTATGGACTGTTAGATGATATTTAATTAATGCTTAAAATTTTATGTGTAATACTGACTCTGTGGTTATGTAAAAGATTGTCCATTCTAAGGAGATGGATGATTAAGTATTTAGTCAAGATGGATGATTAAGTTAAGATGATTGCAACTGAGTGTGTGTATAGAGAAGAAAGAGAGTATGCACAAATATGTCGAAATTGTTATCATTGGTGAATTTGAGTGAAAAGCACACCAGTGTTACTCTTACTTTATTTCAAGTTTTCTGAAGGTTTGTAAATTTTTTAATATTTTTGCTGATATATCTCCTCAGACAAGGGAAACAAAGGCAAAAATAAACAAATACAACTACATCAAACTAAAAATCTTTTGCAGAATAAAAGAAACATCAACAAAACAAAAAAGAAACCCATTGAATGGGAGAACATATTTGCTAATGATACATCTGATAAGAGGTTAATTTTAAAAATAAAGAACTTATACAGCTCAACACTAGGAAGACAAATGACACAATTTTAAAATGGGCAAAGGAACTGAATAGACACTTCTCCAAAGAGGACATACAGATGGGCAATAGACATATGAAAAAGTGCTCACCGCCACTAATCATCAGAGAAATGCAAATTAAATCCACAATGAGATATAAGCTCACATCTGTCAGAATGACTATCATTAATTAATCAAAAAACAACAAGTGCTGGTGAGGATGTGGAGAAAAGGGAACCCTCATGCACTGTTGGTGGGAATGCAGACTGGTGCAGCCACTGTGGAAAACAGTAGAGAGTTTCCTCAAAAAATTAAAAATGGAATTGCCTTTTGACCCAGTGATCCCACTTCTGATAATATATCCTAAGAAACTAGAAACACTAATTCAAAAGAATACATGCACCCTTAGTTCATTGCAGCATCATATACAATAGCTGAGATCTGGAAACAGCCCAAGTGCCCATCAGTACATAAGTGGATAAAAAAGCTGTTGTACATTTACACAATGGAATACTACTCAGCAGTAAAAAAAAAAAAGGAAATCTTACCTTTTGTGACAGCATGGATGGACTTGGAGATTATTATGCTAAGGAAATAAGCCAGTCAGAGAAAGACAATTACCGTATGATCTCACTTCTATGGGATCTCATGAGCAAAATAAACTGATGACAGAGGCTTGTATACACGAAACAGACTGCCAGCTGCTGTCAGAGGGGAGAGGGTTTGGAGGACTGGATGAAAGGAGGTGAAAGGATTAACCCACAAACATATATAGAGAACACAGAGACACAGACAACAGTGTGGTGATAGCCACAGGGAAAGGGATGGGGAAAGGGGAAGGTAGGCAAAGGAGGGGGAAATGGAGATAGAAAGAAACTTTGCTTGGGGTGGTGGGCGCATGATGCAGCATGCAGATGATGTTTTGTTGGTTTGTACACTTGAAACCTGTATGGTTCTGTCAACCACTGTCACCCCAATAAATTCAATTTTAAAAAAATAAATATTTTTTTAAATTAAGGAAAAACTATTTGTTCCCCTTCTTGTTCTGGGATGAGTCAAATGAGAATCCAAAAGTGGTCGTAGGGAGATGGGGAGGGGACTTGTGAGAAAAAGAAGACTGGGAAAAGAAGGGCTTCCAGGTATACGAGAAAAACAGGCCCATGTCTTAGGTTATTAGTGTAATTAACAGTGATGTCCAGGTCAACCCCCAAACCCCCATGGCTTAACACAAAGAAAGTTTATTTCTTGCCCTAGTAGGGAAAAAAAACTGAGTCTCTGGAGGTGAAGTAATCTGCCCAAAAGCCAAAACCAGTGACAACCAGAACTCCCACCCAGTTCTGTCTCCAAGGCCCGTGTTCCTCTGAGTCCAGCACATTGCTCCCGCGGGAGGGACTTGCCAATGGGATCCAGAGGTTAGAGTGACGCCGTCCTCCATCCACATCTGCCATTCTTTTTACTCTGCATGACTGGATCAACACTCCATCCCGAGAGGCAGCCTGGGATGCCGAGAAGACCTCATGTTAGGGTCCAGACCATATATACATTTGTTCTGCAAAATGCTTGAAATACATTCTTGGTGCTATTCCAGGACCAAACAGTGAGAAAAGTCCCTGCTCCCAGGAGCTTACCTGCTAGGGAGGGAAAGAAACAACGGGTAAATGAGTTAATAATAAACTGAGGCCATGATAGAAGCTATGAGCTATGAAAAAAATAACAAAGCAGGGTAAGAAGTATTGAGTGGCAGGGAGGAGGAGGTCCATTTGGGTAAGGACTCAGGGAAGGCCCCTGCATATTGGGTCTGAGCCCTGAAAGAGGTGAAGTAGGAAACACCTGAAGGCCTGAGGAGAGTATGTTCTAAACTGCGGAAGAGCCCATTGAAAGGCCTGAGGCTCTAGCAAATCAGAGGTGATAGAGGGACAGTAAGGCAAGTGTGGCTAGAAGGGGAGAGAGGCGGGAAAGAGAGGAGACAGGTACCTGGCACAGTGAGAAGCAAAGACAGAGTTTTAAGGCAGGGCAGTACCGTGACCTACTAACTTCCATTCTCAAACCTGACCTGCAGAATTCTGCGTGTAGAATGCAGCCGTCCAGGTGACAGTTGATGGTGGCCTTGGTGAGTGAGCAGTGGCCCGAGGGAGATGTATTTTGAAGAGCAGCCAGGATTTGCTGACAGATGTGAGATAAGAGGGGAGAAGGAAGATGGCCCCTAGGTTTTTGGTCCAAGAAATACTCTGACCAGTTCCACTTGGTTATAGGAAAAAAGAAATTTAATGGTAAAATAGTGTGGTATGTGCCACATTATTGTTGTTAAATTTGTTGCATGGTAAAAATTACGTTTTTTTAAATCTTGGAAATAAAAGGACTGGACTCAGTAACTGATCAGTTCTTCATATTGTTAAAATAGTGTTGATAATATTTGCTATGAGATCTGTTATGAGACTTAGCAAAAACAAAATGAGATAATATTTGCGAAAATACTACTCACATGGGTAAGTCAGCTAATAACCAACTTTAATATTTGTGCGGCACTGTCAAGGTAAAATGTGCTTTCTCATGCTTGAAGTAATTCAATTTGCTAACAGTTAATATTGTGCTAAAAATCGGGTGGACTGAAACCCCTGTGACACTATGCCTCACACTATGTGAAGTAATCATTAGCACCACCAAAGAAGGACTCTCTCGGTCATTTCCTATTTCTTGGCCTCTCTCTAGAGAGATAGCTCCTGTGTACAAAAGCAGGCCAGCCCCAGAGTCTGCAGAAGCTCTGCAGTGTGGTCCTTGGGCTGTTTCTCCTCGTATTCAACACAGTGCAGCCTCTGTGTATTGTCCCTCCACGCCACATACGAGGGACTCTTCCTCTGAAATTCCCCATCTCCCTTACTTTGACAGGCCCCAATTTGTTCATCATTGGAGCATAGTGAAAACATGAGGTTTTTTGTTGTTTTTGTTTTTTAATTAGATGATGACTGACTACCAGAAAATAAACCCTTACTTTACTAATAGAAAAAGAAAGGTTTCCAATTTATTTTTTTATTATTTTATTTATTTATTTTTAGAGAGAGGGGAAAGGAGGGAGAGGGAAAGAAACATTGATTGGTTGCCTCTTGCACACCCCCAACTGGAGACATAGCCCATAACCCAGGCATGTGCCCCAACCAGGAATCGAACCAGCAACCTTTTGGTCCACTGAACCACACCAGCCAGGGTGGGTTTCCAATTTCTTAGAAGAAAAGTAACACAAGCCAGCAAAGTGCTACAAGATTAAATGCCCACTTTTTTTGTTCTGAGAACCCCCTGCCACACTGCAAATGACCCATCAAGGACAACTGCTGTCAGAGCTGCTGTGAGAGCACTTCGCAGCTGACTCTTCACACAGAAGGCTGAAACAATATTCTTCCTGTTGTTGGAGCTCTTGGTGTAGAGAGAACTTATCAATGTGGAACACGGAGTCTCGCTTCTTGACTTCAAGAAAAATCATGAACTAAGTGACCATTTTTCTGATACAGTCTGCCAGAGTGCTCTGGGAAGAACCCTTTTTTAATTCGACCACATGATCCAGGTAAGAGGAGAGGTGAGGGTGGAGAGGTGCCTGTGTACTAACAGGTGACGCGGATGAGGTTCTGCACTCCACTCTTTCTGCGGTCAGTACATGGAGGGAGGGAGAGGCCACCCACCAATGACCTTAGGGCTCCCAAATTGACAGTCTTTGGGCAGCCCTTTCTATGGTGGGCTCCTTACAGTCATAGGCATCAGAGACGCCAGGGCCTCCACGGATGACACCGCACCCCTGGGAGGAGCCATAGTCCCTCTCATCACTTACGCACACCCCGGAGCCATAGATCACACTCTTGCCGTCACATTTTTCACACAGTCTTCCGACGGCAACAGCAGCCTGCTTGCCGCCAAAGATCAAATCCAAACATTAGCTTTTTAAACTGACAATTATTTTTAACATGTCAGCCATTGCTGCTATTGTTTTTTTATTTGCCATTCTTTATTCTTATCCCTGTAGGGATTTTTTTTTCCCCAGTCTGGGGATACTTAGAACATTAGACAGAAATACTTAATGGATATTTACTCTAAATCTTTAACCAAGGAACATTTCAGAAGTGTTCTGCTTTGGGTCACTGTAGATCCATGGCAGTATGCCATTTTGATAAAAGTTTTGCCTTCTTACTTATAAATAACAGAGAACAGAATGTATGACAATAATAAATATGATGGCATGAACCTTCACAGCCTCTCTCTTCTCACCTGCTAAGCAACATTTTGCTAATGTCCACCTAAACTTTGTCTCTTCCTTCAGTTTTGGGCTTTATTAGTAGTTCAGAGTGAAGAGTCTACAAGTGTGTGTGTGTGTGTGTGTGTGTGTGTGTGTGTGTGTGTGTTGAAGGAAAACGTGCCAGGGAAAGCAGGAGGGAAAGATTGGTAAAATGCACATTGAAAAGAAAGCAAATGACTGATGGAAGAAAATAAATTGGATCCCAGGGAAGAAAGGAAAAGAGGCATGAGACCATTCAAGTTTCTGAGAAAGTATTAGCAGAGATCTTGAGAGACAGCTGCTGTGTGGAAAGGGACATTGAATTGACAAATAGAAAGAGCTGCTTTGTAAGTTTTGCTCGACATTAAGTGTGCATCTGACCCCTGCACCCACCACACACACCCACAGCCTTCTGAAGTGAAGTGTTCATTGCTGTATTTGGGGGGACTGTTTTCTCTGAATTTTATACTATGCTAAGACTGGGCCACAAAGGGCTTGCCTTAGTAACTCAAACTACCAAAATCTCAGGACACTAGGACACATTTTCTATTCAATATTTAGAAATTTTCTATAAATATCGATTAGTGACTCCTAACTTTATGACTAAGAGGATTAAAAACACATAGGGAAAATGTTAAAGGATGGTGCATTTTTTAAAAAGATGTATTTTTGAGATGTTAATCACTTTGTGAACCTTTGGGAAAACTCTGCCATGAAGCATTGCTACTCCCCTGAGCTCTTCCTGAAATCAGAAGCTTTTTGCCAGAGACTTTCAGCGTTTTTCTTATATCTGTTATTACACTCAATTTATTCTGCCTGCTTGTTTTTTCAAAGAAATTTCTTATTATAATAGTAATATATGTTGGCCTGGATTTAGTCTTTGCCCTCCCCACCCCCAGATTTATTTAATAAAGTATAATTGATAGAATATATTGCATGTATAATAATATATTAAAGTATACAACTTGATTTACTATACATTGTAAAAGGATTCCTACACTTGAGTTAATTAATATCCCCTCACATCATTACGTTTTTTGTGCGAATGCTTAAAATGTATTCTCCTAGCAAATTTCGAGTGCACAACACAGTACTGTTAACTGTGGTCACCATGCTGTACGTTAGGTGTTCAGAATTCACCCATCAGATGGCAGGTGTGTACACTTTGAGCAACCTCCCCCAACTTCCCCCACCTCCAAGCTCCTGGCACCCACCAATCTACTCTCTGTTTCTATGAATTTGGCTTTTTAGATTCTACATATAAGTGAGATCATATGGTATTTGCCTTTCTCTCTCTGGCTTATTTCCCTTAGCATAATGCCTTCTAGTTTTATCCATATCATTGCAAATGGCAGGATTTCTGTCTTTTTGTGGTTGAATAATATTCCATTGTGCATACATACCATGTTCTCTTTATCTGTTCATCCATCAGTGGACACGTGGGTTGTTTCCATGTCTGGGCTGTTGTAAATAATACTGCACTGAACACAGGAGTAGAGATGCCTCTTTGAGACAGCGATTTCATTTTCTTTGGCTATATATACCAAATGTGGGATTGCTGGGTCATATGGTAGCGCAATTTTTAATTTAGCCTGGGTTTATTCTTAATTGTGTCTTGTAAGCTCACTGAAGACAGAGACCATACCTAGTTTATAAAACAATATCATGGTAGTTCACAGCACAGGCCTTGAGGTCATACACACAAATTTGAACTTGGCTCTGCCACTAAAACACCCATCTCTTCTTGTGAATGTTACTGTTGTCTGCCCTTGTGCAGGCTCAGTACTCCCACGTATAAAATGAGGTAACACCTATTCCTCTCAGGGCAGTTGTGAACGTTAAATGAGATGTACGAAAGTGTTCGGCACAATGCCTGGCACACACAAGTATTCGATCAATGGTAACTATTATTATGTGCATGTCTACTTTTTTATTTGAGTTGCTATCATGTAGCACAGAAGTAGCTACTCATATCTTTGCTGAACAAATCAGGGCTGAGAGAAGGAAACGGTGACAGGAATCCGGGGCTGGCACCCTTGTCTTACTATGCCTTTATTCTCCTCTGTGACCTTAACAGTTGGAGTCCCAGGGACTGCTGGGGACACCTGAGGCCTGCTTCTGGCCTAACTGCCTTTCTGGAGGAGGAGTCAGTACTAGGGCCTCCTCGGGAGTTCTGAGCCTCTCAGGGGAGTTCCAACTCAATCCCTAGTTCCTTCACTCCTCCTGCCCTCCCCCACAGCATCTCTGGAGAGTCTCCTAGTGATGGGAACTTCCAGTGACCACCCTGTACCTCTGGGGGGTCCCCAGGAGTTGGGAACCCTCTTAAGTACCACTTCCCGCATGAAGCACTTCCTGTTTTTCCAGGCCAGATAGAGTCTCTCCTATTATATCACATGGCATTCGTTGCCCCATTCTAGCCTTTACCTTTCTGTCATTGTCTGCTGTGAATTTTAAGGTCTCTGAGAGGAAAGTCTGTCTCTGGCTCCTGTTTGATCAGTACAGTGAGCTGTACCTAGTTCCCAAGTAATGACTGTTACACTAAATTATACTGAAGCCGGTCTTGGGGCTGCCGCTTGAGCTGAGCTATAACCTCAGGCCTTGCCCTAAACTCGAAGGTGTTACCCAGATCCCAGAGCTTTAAGATACAAACTTCTGCTCCCTATGGGAGAACACAGCCTCTGTTCCATTAACAACATGGAGTTCTTTGTTTGATTCATTGTGTAAAGTTCCCAGCAACAGATTTCAAAAAGCTGGCAGGAATCCAGAAGTAAAATTTTATATAGTGGGTAGATTGAGATTTACAAGATGGTAACATCAAACTTTTCCTCTCCATAATTTAAAGTTTATTTTTTTTACATCACCCAGGTATTATATAGGAGTGTGGTGGAAATTTAATACCTGTAACAGCTGAAAACAATCTGAAAGAATTCTGACTCTCTTAGCAGTTTACTTAGTAGTCATATAGAAATAATAAAGCAATAATTTATTTGGCCCTAAACATGATTTTTCTGACCCACCCAATGTGCACAAAATTGTAAATTTCTCATTCCCAGTTATTAATACCACAGTGCTAAAGTGCCTGGCCAAAAATAATATTTTACAGCTTTTATTCTGAGTTGTTTAACTTAATTTAGGTGTAATAGCATCTCAGGAAAAGTTTGCCATCCCAGCAACTGGCTTTTCTCAGTTGACATAGAAAAAACATTACCTTTTCAACTCCATCTTTCACTGCTTAGACTTTAGTTCTGCTTGAAGAATGCTGAAGTGTCTGCTCTTGATTTCACACGGCTTCTCACAAACTCTGCGAGTTTCCCGAGCCCCTCCGCCAGCCCGTCCCCGGTGAGGGCGCAGCAGGGCTGCACGTACCAGCTGCGGTCGCAGCAAAGTTTCTTCACTCTGAACATTCTGGTGATGTCCTCGGCAGTCAGCGCTCCAGGTACATCCTGTTTGTTGGCGAATAGAACAACGGGCACATTTTTAATGTGTTCATTTTTCAAAATGCGCTTGAACTCTCTCCGAGAGTCTTGCAGTCGCTGTTTATCTGCGCTGTCCACCACGTACACCAGCCCGTCGGTGCGCTCACAGTAACAGTCCCACACGGTTCTCATCTTCTTCTGTCCTCCAACATCCCAGACTGTGAGTGAAAGACTCTTTTCCAGCTCGATCATCTCCACGTTGAAACCTACAGTTGGGAGGGTCACAGTGTCCTCCACAAGCTTGAGTTTGTAAAGGAGAGTTGACTTCCCAGCAGAGTCAAGTCCCAGAAGAAGAATTTGGGCTTGTTTGACTTTAGGGTTTTTAGAACTCAACAGACCCATTTTAAGCTTTTTTCCCTTAATAAATTGTTGTCCAGAGACAATGTTTGCCCTCCAGGTTTCCTCTCCAGCATGAAAATGCTGGGAGGAGAGAAGAGAGCACATGCTTTATACTCTCTTCTATGAGGCACTGTGTGTACTTAATGTTGTGGCTTATCAGCTTGATTATGGATAAACAGTGTTTTATTTGCAGTCCCAGCCAATCCTGAGGAATCTGCGGGGTGAGTAACCAGGCAATGTCGTAATAGCTCAAGGAGGAAATTCTCAGAGAGTGAGCAGGACTCAGGAGGGGCCTGCCTGGGTGATGCTGCAGCTTCTTCTTTCCAGGTTTTAGAAATGTATGGAAATCAAAGGTTCAGGCATGCGTGGGAATGCGGTTCGGCAGCAGAATAAAAACTTAACTTGACAAGTGGTTGGTAGAACTTCTCTAGTTATTCGACCATTGATCTTATCCCAGTTGTAAATAAGTAATCAGACTTCTGAAATCGTCAAGAGGGAGTTTATCTCACACTTCCCCATGTGTAACTTGAGTACTTTCCCCTTGTCCAGATTACACAACAGGAAACACCAAACCACCCGAGTTGTCTGAGCCTCACTCCCATGACCACACAGAGGATCGATCACTGCTTTAACCTTCTAGGCAGAAAATTTACTCTACTCACAGGGCCAGATTTGCCGAGGAGAAAGTTTGTAACACAAACACTTAAAATTAAGCTCACAGTCTGATTAAAGATGACAGATTAATTTATTTGGAATCAATATCTTGAAAAATATTCCCATGTATTTATCTCCACTCTTTCTCGAGATTCCACCAAATGATGGTAAAGAAATAAAAACAACATATAGCTCTGGCTGGGTGGCTCAGTTGCTTGGAGTGTTGTCCTGTGCACCAAAATGTTATGGGTTCAGTTCCCGGTCAGGTCACATAGTACCTAGGTGGAGGGTTTAATCCCTGGTCGGGGCACATATGGGAGGCAACTAATTGATCGATCTCTCTCTCTCTCCTCTTCTTCTTTCTCTAAAATCAATAAACATATCCTATGGTGAGGATTAAAATATAATAATAATCATAATAATAAATAAATAAAACCAACATGTAAACCCATAACAAGAAAACAGGAAAGTCCCTTGAAGGGTGAGAGATTTTAACAAAATTCTGGCAGATGGGATAGGGATGGAAGACAGTGGTAACCGATGCAGCAGGATGAAGCTGAGGCGTGGGGTGCTGCTGCGCAGGACATGGAGGGAAGGGGCAAAAACAGAGGGCGTCCATAAACATCTGAATCAGGGACGGCACACACATACACACTCACAGCCCTCTGCTGAGTAACATTTCAGCAATGAGAAGTGACTCCCCAGCCAAAAAACTGAAGTGTTCTTTTCTAAAGAAATTGAATGTCAGAAAAAAAGACCTCCAAGTCTTTTTTGGCAGCTGGGAGTTTACACACCAGAATGCCTAACTCCACATTCAATTAACCAACAGCCACCCTGGCAGTGGGCAACCCTGCCTATGCGCACAGAGTCCCCAGTTGGCTTTTCTGCACACAGACACTTCTATGCTTAATATAGAAAATGCCTTTAATATAAATGAGGGAAAGACCAAGATAGAAATAAGAACACTTGAATAAAGTTTAAACAGAAGCAGTGCAGGGAACAGAAGAAAGTAAGTTTTAATTAATATTTCCATGGAGATTTAAAAAGATATTTCATCCATAAAACAATAAATGGATGTTATTAAAAAGGCCACTCAAAAACCAAAAACAGAACTCTTGAAAATTAAAAATATGATTTAAAAAATCTGAATAAAGATCAATAATAGGTTGGAAGGAAATCTTTTAGAAAGTAGGAGATAGAAAATATGAAAGAAAAGATAAGAGACGTAGAGGATCAATTCCAGAAGTTTCAGCATCTGACTTATAGTACTCCAGAAGGAACACAAAATATATAAATGAGGAAATTATCAAAAAATGTATATATGACTATTTTCCAAAGCAAAAGAATAAACCGTCCACATTGAAAGACTTCCCTCAATGCTTAGCAAGTTAATTTTTAAAATAGCTATAACAAGGCATATAATATACATATTTTATTTTTACTAAAACTAAAATTTTATTTTTTTAAGAAATTAAGTAGACTATTCTGGGTGTAGAAAGTACACTTATGAAGAAATTATTCAAGACTTTTAAAGAAAAATTAAGTTTTTACCCAACTCACTGTATCTCAGAAACCAGAGATAACATTTTTCATTCATTTATTCATCCATTTAGTCATTCATTCAACATATCAACATATATATATATGTTGACATGCCATTTGCTAGATTCCAGGGACATCAAAGATAAATTAGGCCAGCCCTTAGGAGGCTTTCATTGGAGAAAAGTAAAAATTGTGTGAATAAACAAAAATAATAATACACAGTAAAAAATCATAAATACTGTAGGGGAAAAAAAGCTAAAGTATTCTGGATATTTAAAGATTATTTCAGGATGGAGGGCACTAGGGGAATTTTCTAGGGAAGGTTAAATACTGAACTGAGCCTGGTATAGATGTGGTGGGGGGAGGGCATTGATGAAAGAGATGGTCTGTGTGAGCGAAGTCTCCGCAATGGGAAAACATAACGTGTATATGGGCAAACAACAGGAATGCAGTGTATGCACATGTATTTGTTTTTCCTACAAACATGTTTAACTAGCATGAGAAAACCATCACACAAATCTAGATTGTAGGGCATGCTACAACAGTATGCCATGTCATGACAGACAGAAAAAAGAGAAAAGAAAAAGGAGCAGGGGAAGGATATTCTAAATTAAAAGATACATGATTTCCTAAATACATTGTGTGATCTTTGATTGGATTCTTTGTCCAAGAAAATGATTAAATAAATTACAACAATTGAGGACATTAGATGCTGTTATTTATCAATGTCAGGTTTTAGGTTTTTTTCTAAGATTTTATTTATTTATTTTTAGAGAGGGAAGGGAGGGAGATAGAGAGAGAGAGAACCATCAATGTGGGGTTGCTGGGGGTCATGGCCTGCAACCCAGTCATATACCCTGACTGGGAATCGAACCTGCGACACTTTGGTTCGCAGCCCATGCTCAATCCACTGAGCTACGCCAGCCAGGGCAGGTTTTTTTCTTTATTATTGATTTTTAGAGAGAGAGGGGAAGGGAGGGAGGGAGGGGGAGAGAGAGAGAGAGAAACATCAATTTGTTATTCCACTTATACATTCATTGGTTGATTCTTGTATGTGCCCTGATTAGGGAATTTAACTGGCAACTTTGCCTTATTCGTATGATTCTCTAACCAGATGAGCTACCCAGCCAGGGCCTAATGTTAAATCTCTTGAGTATAGTGATGACATTTTGGTTATATAGGAAGTTCACCTTGTTCTAAAGAGATACACATTAAAATACTTAGGAGTGATATCAGCAAGTCAATTTCCATTGATTTAGCAAACACACATATATACAGAGAGAGCGCACAGAAATATGATAAAAGTCAATAATTGGTGGAGTTAAGTGAGAGGTATTGGGTGTTTACTGTACTATTTTTTAACTCTCCTGCATATTTGAAAACTTTCAAAATAATTTGAAAACAATGTAATGAGATAAGCCTATCAAATTAGGCTGAAGTCTGAAATAATGTAAAGAAATAATTTAGTTTACACATGTGTTAAGACTGTACTTCCAAAGATGAATTTAGGAACTCTGACTTCGTGACCACTTGAGCTCATCCCAACTCCACATTTTCAATAAATTACCTTTTTGAAGGTTTACCATTTATTTTTTAAATTAAACGTGGTATGTTCTTCTGTCTTCCATTTGGCCAATGCTGCCTTGTTTTCAGGACAGCCAAGCAAACAATGGGTTAAATTCTGGATGATTATATCCAAATGAAACAATAATCCTTCTGTGAAAGGAAGTAAAATAACTTCTTTCTCCATGCTACTTTCATGAAAAAGTCTACAAATATTTTAACATCCTTTCCTATTATTCCACAACATTTATGGATTCATTTGTCCCAGTCAAATCTGAGGGGAGGCAAAGTATTGGTAGTTTGTAAATCATCGTAGATTATACAAAAGGGAAAAAAAGGTAGAATTGTGAGAGAGTTACTGGCAGGCTCTGAGAAGCACAAGGAATTTGTTTTAAAATACAGGAATGAAAGAAACATTTTCTTTAATTTCTTACCACAATGATGGGAAGCAAAAAGCCTTAAATTAGAAACTCAATCATGTAGTGACCAAGTAAAGATATAGAAACTTATCTCTTGGAAGAAAGTGGCAACTTATTCTATTATTGTTATTTTTCACTGGTAAAAAAAAGAATCAGGATGTGGTCATGTGGCTTGCTTAGCTTATGCAGACTTAGAACACACCCTGTTTTCCTTACAATAACTTATTTTTGCCAGTCTTTTAAAAAGTAAACTTTTAGAAAAAGGAAGTCTCACATACATATAGTAAAATGCGAATATCATACATGCACAGCTCAGTGAATTATCACATATTGAATACACCCATGTAACCACTACGAAGGCTAGGCTTAATTTTTAATTTTCCATTCTTTGTTGCAAGTAAAAATTTGAGACTTCAAATGTTTCTACACCAGTTGTCAGAAATTTACTCTGTTCTTAAACATGTAAGGTAAACAACAGGTACTCATTATCCTAGCTGAGATTCTTTGAAACTGGGAAGAATGGTATATTCCAACCTACAAAGCTTTTCCAGGTGCCATTTTTCCAGGACAGAACCAATACTTCATCACCACAGGCAAAAAACTTTACTTGTCACATGGTAGACTGTTGGATCTGAATTCAAATCTAGCCTCTGGCAAGTGTTGAATGGTGATAAAATCAAGAATGTTATAATAATTACTTATGTTATATAAAGTAAATTTGAAAACACATTTCACAGAACCTGGCACATGATTGATGAAAATTTTCTTTCCTCCTACAAGTTTTATATATTGGCTAACATTTAAAAATACTGGCAGTTCTTAAATTTTTGCAGACAAGAAACAATTTGATGATTACCATCAGAGTATTCCACTGGCAGAATAGATTACTGTGTGCCGGACCTCTTTCCCAACGCCCAAACACTTTTATTC